CTACTCTCTCTCTCTCTCTCTCTCTCTCTCTCTCTCTCTCTCTCTCTCTCTCTCTCTCTCTCTCTCTCTCTCTCGATCCATTTCGTATCACAACCGCACGAGGTGGGCGCATATACACCATATTTCTTTTCACTTTCTCCGCCACGATCATTTTATTTTATCCTTCTTCTCCTCTGTCGATATCCGTATCAAGCGGATAAATGTAGCAGCGCAGGGCACGACAATTATCATTCACTTAACCGGCACTTGGCGCAGGGAAATACCTCTTTCTCTGTTCTTACGTAAATTGTGGTGAATGTACATTTGGAAAAGAATCGGGACAAAGAAACAAGAAAATTCGAATCGGCTTATCGTTGAATCTATCGTTGAAAATATAAATAGCGGCGAGTTTATCGACTGAGAGATATTATCGACTGTGTACTTTCGTCTTACGAAGCTCGTCGTTTTTCATTTCTTAATACTCTTCTGGACGTTTCTTTTCTTTTCTTTTTTCTTTTCTTTTCTTTTCTTTTTTTTCCTTTTTTTTTTTTTTATTCAATCGCTTGTTTGAACTCAAACCCTGCGAGTAACGACAGCGGAACGAAATGCAGCGAGATATTGCTGTGGCATTACGGGAGCCCAAATTGTTCGTCACACGGTACCATTAGTTGTTGTTACTTACAGGCTGGTAAATGGTAGGTCGACCAACGTTATTCGAGTTCATGTTCGCTCTCTGGATCGTTCTGTCCTCGTATCTGGTGCTCCCTTGACTCGCCATCGGTCGATTCAGCGTGCTACAATCATAGCTAAATTTAACGCAGGATCGAGAAAGTTCGGGGATCCGCAACGGGCGTGGACTCCGCTTAAAAAAAAGAAAATTTCTCCATCCACAACAGAGTAAAAAAAAAAGAGAGAGTAAATGGGAGAAGCATATACTTAAAAGTCAAAAGTGCGGAGTCCAGGAACGGAAACGACAAAAATAAAAGATTGGTAGGTGTTTTAACGAATGATCAGAACTCTTGAAATCAATGGATCAACGAGAGGGGGGGGAGAGGTTTACCTATTCGCGTTGTTGGGTGAATTAGGCCCTGAATTCCGCGCCGCCACCGTCTTCGTTACGAAATCTTGCTCCTTCCAACCGTGCTTCTTGTAAACGTCTCTCAACTCTTGATGCTGCCACATCGTGAACAAGACTTGTCCTAAAAATTAATAACAATTCGTCCAATCTCTCTGAAACATTTGTCATTTCCAGAGTATTCGGTAGAGAGTGGAACTCTTGCCTGCAAATTTAAGAACACGTGGCGTGTACTTCTGGCGTTGCCTGGTGATGTTCATCAGTCTGTCGACACCGCCAGCGTCCAACAGGGAACGCGAGAACTCGGCGTTCTTCTTGATCACCTCGTTCAACGTTGCAAGCACCGCGGCGATCGTATCGTCGCTGGTTCCTTGGTCGTGCTGGTTATTCCCCGAGGGCAACTTTTGAATAAGGTCACGCATTGCGTACTTCCCTATCAACTCCTTGTTCCGCTGATCTATCGCCAGATTCCTGAGAGCCGTGGCCACGGCGCAGACTACCCGGTCCACCTACCAGAAAAAAAACGTTTCAACTTAAATCGTTTTCGCTCTACTATTTTGGCACAACTACAATATTTATTTCACAAGTCTTAATCTATATATGTTTCACAATTCTTCCAGCTACCTCCATCCGCAACAGCTCCACCAAAATGGGAAGCCCTTTCTCCTTTCTCACAGCCGCACGAATTTCGATACTGGGCTGCCAATAGCAGGCCGCAAGGTTCTGAAGCGCGCCCGCCGCCGCCTCGAGGGTCTCCGGATTCGAGCACGTCTGCAACAGCTTCAGATAGGACTGGACCACCTCGGGCTGCCAGAGAAGCTCCATGCCTCTGACAGGCTCGGTTCTCGGGCTGGTCGTGGTGCGGGACGCGGTCGTTTCCTTTTGCACCGGTTGCCCGTCCTTCTTCTTCTTGCTGCCCCCGAAGCAACCGAGGTTCTCGCCTAGAGCAAAACGATTTCAATTGTCGCGTTAATTATTACAGGATATTAAATAAATAATATAGAGTGGTAACAGGTCTAATCAACATTGCACGTGGCCTGATATGATACGATATTGAGCTTCCAGCATTATTGGAATAACTTAATTGATTCGAGCGAGTGGATGACGCATGCAATTCGATTTTTGGAGGTGGTTAAAATTTGACAAGGTTGACAACGCTACTTCTCAATCAAACGGGTAAAGAGGCAACGCCTGAAACATGGCAAACAACACAGCTTGCTGGAATTGCGGCCAGTCAATCGAGTAGGAGCGGTATTATGCAAGATGCATTGTAGATGTACAATTAAGGCTCGATAATTAACCATTGATTTCTAATATTTGACACCCGTGTTTAATCTCATTCAATAATAAATCTCAATAAATGCAAATAGCGGCAACAATGTGATTCTGTTTTCCGTTTTGGAGAACATCCATTAACGGTGCGTGATTAACGGTGTCAATATTAGAACAATGATTGTAAACATTGATCGCGTGATCGTGTTTGCCAACGATAGCGGGTCTAAGTTTCTACAAAGTTGTCGAGAGTTATCGGTTGTTTGTCGAAGATAAAAGAAACGAAAATAAAAAAGAAAAAAAATATAAGTCGAGCGAACTCGACTCGATGGTTGGTCGTGGAAAAGCGATGCATGCATTGCAACGACTATTTGGATTCGTCTCGAGAGAGAGAGAGAGAGAACAAAAAAAGGAAACAAAAAAAAAAAAGAAAAGAACATAAGAAAATAAATTAAAATAACGATGGAAGTACAAGAATGTCTTACCTTGACATAAACTGTATGCTAAAAAGATTGAAACACATCTTTAATTCATGCTAAACTAGAAAGTATATAAAACTTGTTTTTTTTTTTCTTTACTTTACTTTTCTTTTCTTTTCTTTTCTTTTTGCTTCTCTAAATTTTCCACCTTGTCGACTTGAAAAAAAAAAAAGAATCTTACGACATTGCACACAAGGATCAAGAGAGAAACAAGAGAAGAAAATCATAACACCGAAAGGGGGAAACACAAAGATCAACGTGGTTGCAAGAAAGATACGTACACTAAAATCGACTGTATGTGCTATCGCTAATGAAAGGGTATATCGTCCTCACGCAGAGACATCGTTGCATCATTACCATTACGAACATTACCCAATTACGTTACCCAATCAAACGTGTAAGCGATTATACTCAACAGAGACGTAAGCGTTACAACGAGTATTCAAGTGTATTACAACAAGTGTGGGGTTATCGTTTTTGATAAATTCGTGGATAGATAAATATAATACGACTCCTGATCCATTACCTTGCACGTTTTTCGCATTCCACTGAATGGAATGTGAAACGCGCGATATCCCGTCGTTATGCGACTTGTTTACCGTACAATAATCGCGTTGTCAAGCGGATGTACACGTAAATGTGCTTCGTTCCTCCCCGTCGCGATTCTCCTCGTGTTGGAAGACTATCGCTTATACGATTATCGATCCTACTTTTCGGAGAACTAATTTTCATAGTTCACGACAATTCCAGTATCTACTTTGCGGAGATACAGGGCGATACAAAAGTACAATGGTAACATAACAAGGAAGCATAACAACGGAGAACGATACAAGAATTTAACACAACTTGATAAAAGTGAGATCTGCCGAGATCCTTTCCAATTGGGTTGCTTTTGTACCGCACTGATTGTGGCAACATATGCACACATCTTGGATGGATTACGACTTTGGTTACAACTTTTCCCCTTATATTATATCACATCAACTCTCTTATCATCAGCACAATTCGGCTACATGCGTGTTTCGCCACATGCCCACACAGGGAACCGGTGGTGTGTTTACAATGGCAGAGGGGAAGGGTGGTACGCACGCTCGTCTCATTCCCGGGAATGCAAGGGGACACAGGCCCTCACCTTTGGCCGGCGCCGCCACCCTGTTCTGAACGGTCGACTGAATCGGGTGCTTGTCGTAGTTCGGGTCCTCCACTTCCTGGCAACGGTAGCTCAGGTTTCGCAGGATGCACACGCAATTCTCCACGATCTTGTTCCCGATGTTCGACTTCTCGATGGCGGACCGCACCACGTAGAGAAGGGCGTCGACCAGGCCGTCGCACTCGCGGAGCTTCTTCCTCGCGTATTCCCCGGCGCTCGACACGTTCCTCAACACGCCGGAAGCGTTTCTGAACACGGTCGACCAGCACGTCTCCCCGCTCGAGGAGCTTGGATCCCAGCCGCTGTGAGGGATGATTATGTTGTTCACCACCATCGTCACGCCGTCGTCGATTATGGATTTCTTCAAGTCCTGAAAAAAGGGTATCGCGTGAGACGAAAGCGAGGATTGATTTCTCTCTTATCTCGATTAATTTCTTCGCCGATTCCGTTGTAAAGTTATAAAGCCTGCGATGGATTGTTGTCGACGAATTACTTAACCTCTAAAAAATTTGCAAAGTATTTATTTGGGAACACTTTTTCCGTTTACTTATCTGTTGTAGTTATAAAGCCTACGATGCATTGCAGTCAATGAAATACTTAACCTCTAAGAAATTTGGCTCGACAAATTTATTTATTTGGGGATAATTTTTAATTCGAGTTAAATCTCCACTATCACTGACATTTCAAATAAATAAATTCTTCGTTATTCTCGGTGAAGTTCCGTTAGAATCGTGACCGATCGATCGATTTTATCGATGCCATATCGATAATTTTCGACGTGTCGATAATATCGTTACGAGATGTCGCTAATGGATACCAGTGATCGAAGTTCTTTCTACCTCTTTCTTTCTTATTTAAAGTTATTACTAAAGCACGTAAAAATATTGTTTGTGGCAAGTTATTGGTGGCAAATCAGCGTTATAATTACCAACAATGTCTTTAATGATAAAATTCGAATAAGAAAGGACTCTAGTTTCATCTGTTAATGGTAGTTTGACAGGTATCTTTTGAACATTATACAACAAGCTTTTTTTCTTGGTTCTCGTATTTTAACTCAAACGTTTTGCATTCTCTATTATCGATCATTATCTTCGTCAACTATCGCCTCCACTATAAAATCTATGATCAAAATTACAAGTGTGACTCGACAAGAGCTTGAACATAACCTGTTACCGATCGTCCACGAAAAGATGACGAACGAAACGAGAGAAATGCATATACATCCAATACTTGCCATAGCATAGTAAGTAACTTTTCACAACTGCAATAATTTTGTCAATTAATAATTAATCCTTTATGCATTTATATTCAAAAAGGTTACCAACCAAGAGTAACAAGATTCCCTAGAATATATAACTATATTATACGTATATATATATATATAAACACACGTATACGAGGATTGTATAGGATTAATAAACAAGCAAGGTATAGTACATAGCAATACTATAATCCAACCAATGCCATTTTAATGCGCATCTCTTACGTCCGCTCACCTCGCACGAGGACAAATTCCACAGGACCCCCGTGACCAGCTCCTTCACGTCGGCGTCCGACGTTCTGCGCAACAAATTGATCAAGGCGGGGACGCCGCCCGCGTTCTTGATGGCCCTCTTGTTCTCGTCGTTCTGCCTCCCGTACGACAAGTTCCTCAACGCGCCGCACGCGTTCCTGTACACGTCCGGATTGTCGTGGTCGAGCAGCTGGACCAACGGCGGTATGCCGCCCAAACTTCGCGTCTTCTGCTTGTTGGGGTCGTCCATGTAGCACAGGTGTTGCAGATACGCGGCGGCGTTCGCCTTGATGATGTTGTTCGGGTTGCTGAGGAAGCCTATCACCTCGGACAGATTCGGGTCCCGCCATCTCATCGACTTCTGGTCGTCGTCCAGCGGGCTGGCCATCCCGGGCACGACCGGGTGTCGGGACTGCAACCGTTGGAGGTGGACCTCGTCGTCGAACATCCCGGGCGGGACGCCGGTCGGGAGGGGGACCGGGTGGCCCTCGTCGTAGCCGGGCACGTCGCTTGGGACCGCGACCGGGCCCACCCCGACGCCAGGGCCGTATCCGACGGGCCCGTATGGGGACGGAGACACGTAACCGTAGGCCACTTTATTCTCGTCTGGAAAATGGAGATGGCGTTTTAGAAGAAGGTGGCCTTTCTTTGCATTTGTTTGAAACGACGGCACAAGTAGTGTTGTAACGTGAAACGCATAATTCACTCGCATTATCTTGTTGCTTTTATTTTTTAGCTGCGGTGATGGTTGCTCGCTCGAAGCGATAACGAGGAGGGGGACGAGAGATAAACGACGATAAACGCGCGATCGTGACGAGAAAAGGGAAGGGAAGAGGAGAGAAATATATATATATATAGAGAGAGAGATAGATAGAGAGAGAGAGAACGTGTTAAATAAATTATTGATGTGACCCTACCATGAGGATGCTGAGAGGGTTCGCCGGAGTCATCCATATTCCAAGAGTTGCTGATCTGATCTAGAGAGAACACAAAATAACAAACGAATGTCAGGCATGAGAGATAATTAAAGTGAATTATGCTGCATCCTCCTGTGCACGCGACAAATTCCACAACATCTGATATCTGGCTGGATGATCTCTCTGGACACGGTTTGTGGACACCTGTCTATATAGGTATCGCATTCTTTTGAACATGGGGGAGAAACACGGGGGACTTAGAGGGGGGATCCTTCTAATCCTTTCGATTAACGAACCTACCATATTGATCTCCAGGACCACCGGGACTAGGAGTAATACGATAATGATCTTGCAACGCGGGATTCAAACCTGGATCGATGTCGTTGTAGCCTCCTTCCACGTAAGGCGCCGCCTTGCGCAGGTATTCTTTAACAAACAAACAAACGAACGAACGAAAGAAAGTAGTAAAATAGAAAGAAAACTACTTTGATATATCACTGTACTTTACTAATTTCACTGATAATTTTCAGAAACCGTCCAACTGAGATGATAAAAATGAACGCTCACCATGCGGAGGCGAGGCACGACTGTGCTCCGAGGGGCTGTGGGGGCTGTGAGGAGAGTGCGAGCGTGGCATGTAGATTCCATGGGGGCCTGGATACCCTGGTTGGGGCGGGTAGCCGAGGTAGGGCTCGTAGTGCTCGAAACCGACCATGTACGAGTCGGCCGGGTACCGTCGGTCCGCGTGTTGATAGTCCTGGGACATCAATGGAACCGACATGTAGCTCACCGCGCCCGGATCCGGCTCCATGTGTGACACCTCGCGCACCACCTTCGACACGTTTGTTACCTGGAATTATTTTTTTTTTTGGCAGATCGAGAAGATTCTCGGAAATATTGGGATGTAAGAATAAATGGATATTCTTGGGAGAAGAAAATTGGGAACACCGTGGAGAGGTGCAATCGTTAGCAGGAGTAAAACGGATCTCACTTGTTGAGTAGTTTGCTGCTTATGGCTCCGGATGAGTAATGGATCCTCCTGGACAGACAAATGAGACGAATGCAACGAATGGGTATCCGCCTGGCCGTTACTTCCGTGGTAATCTGCATCACTCTGTCCGCTGCAAAATGATCCGCAATAATGATCAATTAGAGATGCGCGACAATCGCCGAATTATTCGCTCAAGGTTCGGTATAATAGCTTACGTGTATTGCGGCATGTCGGGGCCCTTCTCCTGGAGAACGCGTCTGGAAAAAAAAAAAAAAAGATGGAACGAATCGCTATTTGTTCCGAGTTATCATGTGGAAACGAGCCATCAATCACGAATATTAAACAGCTAAAATAATTTCGATGGATAAAGAACAAAAGGGGAACGAAAATTGGTGGCATTGTACGTATATCGGTACGTGCGATTGGAGGTAAAAAAAAAAAAAATAAGATAAATAAATAAATATAAAGCGCAGTTGAAACAGTATAATACAAAGTGAACGATGAAAAAGTAAAAGGAACGAAGAACAAAGCGAAGCATTCAGATACGAATCTAACTACGTTAAACTACCTCGTGCCCTCGTCACACATCACTCTCAACCATGCTAAATAATAAACGCGGAACGAGAATGTTAGTGCGGCCGAAGTTACTCATTCTGACAACACTTTTCGATGATTACTCTCTCCTTTGAAAATTCGTCGCAACGCCTCGCGAGATCTCGATGCACGGGATATCTATATCGAGGAAAATCTACAGGGTATATATACGTTTTAACCAAATATTTTTCCATTTGTTTTATTTCCGATCGGTTGACAAAGATTCGTTCGAAGATATTATTTGTGAAGAGAGATTTGAAAATATATCGTGAATATCGTTAAAACGTACACCCTATATAATAGCATTTGTATAGAAGGCATAAATCGTTCTCGTTTTAAGCGCATTCCATCGAGAATCTCGACGAGACGGCGAGTCCGAATTTTCGATTCGAAGCTTCGCTTTTTCCAAAGGAAAAATAATTAATACACGAACAATGTCGATGAACAATAGCGGAATCGGTTATTCGGTCGCGCTCGCGCGCTCAGAATGACTAACCTCGTCGATTAGGTCATGTTAGTCACCTCTGCGTGATCTCAGTGTGCGTTATGCTGTGCTCCTGTCTCTCGACGATTCGACGATTCACCAGCCTGGCATTAATAATTTCGTTCCGATTAATATACGGGTGCCGGGGTTACGTGCATCCTAGGGTGCGATCTATTTTCTAACATATCTTGTAACTGTCTTTTTCATTACTGGTGGTCGCGTGGCCGATTCCCGGGCCTCGTGTGTCTATTTTTTTCCATTTTTTTTTTTTTTTCGAGGCTTCGAGGAAAACGGGCCGAACGACAGCGGAGATAGATGAACAGATAGATAAATAGAATCTTTATTTCTTTTCTAGCCATTACCGAGGAAACGAGTTTCGCCAATTGGCCGACGTTACGTTTTTTTGCAATAGCCGTGTAAAGTAGAGAGAGAAGAGAAGAGAGGGGGGGGAAAAGCGGAGTTCACCGACGATTCCCCTCGTTCGGAGAAGGAAGGAAAAGAGTAATAGAGCGAAAGAGAACGTATTATTCGGTTACGAGGCTCTCCTCGACAGAGAAACTCGAGTAGAGAAAGACACTTACAGACAGGAGTCAACCAGCTGATTATTTGACATACCAGCTGATTTTTCGTCTCTTGCCGCTCAGCAGTCGATGACGTCCCCTGGAATCACATTAAAACGACAATTCTTGAGAAGATTATCGAGAGAAACTTTTGAAAAATAAAAATCGAGAAGAGACACATTCGTGCGATACATAGCTCGACTCTGACGAATCAACCGTCAACTGTTTACGACTACTCGAGCCTGTTAACGACCATCGTATTGATCGGTGCATTAGCGGAGGAGCTCTAATTAGCAAGGCATACGCACTTGATACTTCTTTCGTGAGGACAACTGAGAAAAGTTTATTATTCGGTTGAAAAAAACTTTCCACGATCTTGATCGGGCATTGTTGTTGTCAACGAGAGAAAACTTTTTCTAAAGAAGTTTGAAAAAGAATTCTTGAATGAAAACAAGCAAGTAAGATATATATATATATATATATCGATGGCTAAAGCTCGTTAGAACGATCGAATCGATTTAATCTTCTTTTTTTTTTTTAAATTTATTCTTTTTTTTCACTTATCCAACCTTAATTAATTTTATCACTTCAACGTAGAGCGCGTGCAGTTAACAGGTGAAGCGAGGGTATCACGCGAGCGCCGCGCGTAATCATGGCATTAAAATATAAAACGAGCAGAAGAGTTTAATTAATTTGTCGCCTCGCTGCTCTTTTGTCACGTGTTTCGATTGGCTGTTGCTCGGTATGCGTGAATTATACGCGTATATATATATACGAGGAAAGTTTCGCTAACGAATTCACCTAATGCAACTACGACCTCAGAATTTCGTCAGAGGGCGTACTAAAAGGATTTTAGCCAGTTCGACCGGTGTCGTCGGCCAATTCTATTCGACTAACGAACTTCGTTTCCACGTTTATTATCCTTTTTTTTTTTTCCACCCACGACGTAATCGCCTAGAGGTCTCTCCACAATCTCCCTTTTCCTTTGGAAAAGAATCTTTCGAAAATGAATTATTGAAAGCCAAATAAGTGGAAAGAAAAATATCCAATATTCCAATATTTCAGGAAAAATTCCAATCTTTTACTATCTTATACATATCCAACAAGATGAATTGTTGTAAATATATATGGATATGGCATTTTGAGCAGAAATGTATGTATGTTCTGTTTTCGTGTTGCAAATTCACAGGAATTTCCTCTCGATTGTATTTAATTGAGGGTTAGACTTTCATCCAAGTCCAAGTTGGCGCGACTTCTCCGGTTAATTAAAGAAGACTACTGTTTAATAACCGGTTGTCAACCGGGTGGACGCCAATTTGGCCCACTTTTCACCGACTCCCCGCGAATAATATTCCTCGTCCCTCGAGAGCCGTGAGAGGAGGGAACATCTCGCCCGATTGTTCCCAGTTATTAAGGTATTAGACGGTGGCACGTGGTCGGAAATTCAAGTCGGAGAGGAGATAAAAAGATCGTGACAACGGCAAATACCGCCGCGTTCGCGAGGATAAGATGAAACGGGGGAATTTGTTTAAGGCCCTCCCTCCTCCTCTCCCCTTATCCCCCTCTCGACCTCGATTCGAATCGCAAGGAAAGATACGTGTGTTCTCGATCATTAAACGATCGATTTAACAACAATTATACGGTTAGATGAATATTCCTTCTCATTTTCTAATAAATTAATAAATGACGCGTCAGAAGAAAGAGGTAAGAAATTGCTTCAAAAATGCCTCTCGGTTTCGTCCAAATTCGTCCTGGCTCTCCCATTTTTCGCCCGAAGCAACGAAGGGTAAACAAATCTCGGTCCAAACAGCGTTCATTCGACTTCCTCGCGTCGCGTCCGAGAGATCGATTCACCGCGCATAAGATGCGCCTCGTTGCAGGATCCCACGGGAGAATCTTTGGATCGTTCGAGGGAAGAAGCTTCGTGTAATTAAGAGGCTAATTGCCGCGCGCGCGGGTAACGAAGTGCGCGATTTCCTATCCCCAAGACCGCGGCGGAGAATCGCCCATTCGGCCGAAATTGCATCCTGTTAACGAGCCCTCCCTTTCCTCCTCCTCTCTTCTTTTTTTTTTTTTTCGATCCTCGAATACGAGTAAAATTCCATCCTGGCGATCGTTTATCCTTTTCTTTTCTTATCCTTGCTTTCTTTTTTCGCTCTTGCGTGCGCAAAAGGTTTGTTCGAAGGAAATTAGTTAGCGGGGATTTCGTTCAAGCAGAATTAGTGTACGATTTGTGGGCTCGTTGCTTGTAATTATTTGCTCTGGAATCGTAATAAGATTTTGATATGCGTAATGATAAAGAGCTACGATTTTTTTAGATAAGATCTATAGAATTTTGAATTATCTCGAGACGAAGGAATGGAAAGTACGATTTTTGAGATTAGATTTATAAATTTCGAAATATTTCGAGACGAAGGAATGGAAAGTACGATTTTTGAGGTTAGATTTATAAATTTCGAAATATTTCGAGACGAAGGAATGGAAAGTACGATTTTTGAGGTTAGATTTATAAACTTTGAATTATTTCGAGACG